CTAATTTTTTCGTGCTTCCTTTAAATGCTGGAGTTTCTCAGAGTTCAGTATTGGCCTCTTTTTTTTTTTTCCTCTATACTATATTCTTTTCCATAGGGGATCTCATCCACTCCCATGTCTTCAAATGCTATCTATATGCTAATAGATTATAAATTTGTATCATCTGGCTGGGCCTCTTTTTCTAAGCTCTAGACTTCTATATCTAACACCTTATTCTATACCTCCTCTTTGATGCATGACAGGAACGTCAAACATTATATGTCCAGAACAGAATTCATAGTCATGCCACAGTACCTTCAAACTCAGATAGTCCCTAACTTAGGATGGCTCAATTTACAACTTTTTCATTTCACAATGATGAGAAAACTATTGTGTTCAATAGGAACCATACTATACCCATGCAACCATGTTTTTCACTTTCAATATTCAATAAATTATATGAGATACTCAACACTTCATTATAACATAGAATTTGTGTTAGATGATTCTGCCCAACCATAGGCTAATGTAAGTGTTCTGTGCACACTGAACAAAGGCTAGGCTAAACTATGATGTTCAGTAGGTTAGGTATATCAAATGCATTTTCAACTGATGATATTTTCAATTTATGATGGGTTTATTGGGATGTAATGCCATCCTAAGTCAAGGAGCACTGTATTTCTTTTAATATTCCCAATCCCAGGCTGCTAGGAGACACCCCGTATTTTCACTTACTCTATACATATCACCATGTCCAGTAGGCTCTACTTTCTGCCTTGAGTCTGTTCATTTCAACCCATCTGCCTGGTACAATCTACCAGTTTTCCACCTGCCAACCTGGTTTCACTTCATCCACTTTTTTCTTTTTACTCATTCACACAGTAGCCAGAGTGATCTCTTAAAAATGCTGTTATGATCACAATTTTCCTTTGATTAAAACCCTTTTGGCATGCTACAACAGAGATGAACCTTGAAGATATTATGCCAAGTGAAATAAGCAAGACACAGAAGGATAAATATGATTGCACTTGAGAATAGTAAAATTCATAGAGACAGAAAGAATAGTGGTTTTCAGGGGTAGGAGGGAGGAGGGAATGGGGAGTTATTGTTTCATGGGTACAGAGTTTCAGTTTGTGAAGATGAAAATGTTCTGAAGATGGATGGTACAATGGTTGCACAACAATGTGAATATACTTAGTGCCACTGAATGTACACTTAAAAATCATTAAAATGGTAAATTTTGTTGCATATGTTTTGCCACAATGAAAACAAAATACTTTTGTTTGTTCATTGCTGTTATGATAAAGATCTCAACACCTGACACCCCCTACAAGGTCCAATATGATCAGACCTACCATTCCACCCCGAGGTTTTTATACTCCAGTTACGCTAACTGTCTTTTTTCCAAGTTATTGATGACACTAAATTCCTTCTTACTTTAAACCTCCCTTAATGTTCTTTCTGGAATGAAATGCTCTTCCTCTCTTTTCACCTGGCCGGGTACTATTACTCATTGTTTTATCCCTCAGCTTATACAGCACTTCCTCCAGGATATTGTCCCTGACTCTCTCCAGTGGTACATCCTTCTATTTACAGTCTAACAGCACCTATACTTCTTTGTTGCACTTATCACAATTATGATGTATTATTCAGTATCTGTCTCTTCCAACATATTGCAAGATCTGTGAGACCAGAGACTATTTTGTCTTATTCATCAAACACCTTTCAAAGAGCTGGCATTTAGTACAAGTTCAAAACATATTTATAGAATCAATGAAGCAATATACAAATGAATGAATACCATCTAAATGGTAAAGAATAATTCATTAACGAAATAATATGAGGGCCAGGTGTGGTGGCTCATGTCTGTAATTGCAGCACTTTGGGAGGCCGAAGCGGGTGAATCACTTGAGGTCAGGAGTTCCAAACCAGCATGGCCAACATGGCGAAACCCCATCTCTACTAAAAATACAAAAATTAGCTGGGCATGGTGGCATGTGCCTGTAATTCCAACTACTTGGGAGGCTGAGACACGAGAATTGCTTGAACCTGGGAGGCGGAGGTGGAAGGGAGCCAAGATCGTGCCACTGCACTCCAGCCTGGATGACGGAGTGAGACTGTCTTTAAAAAAAAAAAAAAAAAAGGATTACCACTTAAAAGGTATTTCAAAGAAAAAACATAATATTTACTTATCATTTTAAAAATAATACAAATTCCCTATAGAAAACCTGGAAAATCCAGATAAAATATAAAGAAAACAAACACTGCCCTATCTTGCAACCCAGTGGTAATCATTGTTGTACATCTTGGTATATTTCCTTCCAGTCCTTTATGTGTTTATATGCGTGTGTGTGTCTGTGTGTATTTCTTGAGAAAACACTCCAGTGGGATAATATGTATACAATTTTGTTTCTTCTATTTATGTTGTACCATTTACTTATTCCCATATTATAAGTAATTCTGATTTAGAATATCTTTTGATAAATCTTTGACCCACATCTTGGATTTTGATTAGAATTACTAAAAGTAGTTATACTATATGAACATAAAAAATATTAATTAGAAAACAGAAAAAAGGAATAAATACCTTACCATAATCTAACGATACAAGAATGACAACTTACTCTTTCTTTAACAACTTAATGCTTTCAAACCTTCATTCTGTTCAGGTGGCAGAGACAGATTTCTGTGAGCAGATACAAATCTCAGTTGACAGAGTTAGGTAATTAGGACATAATTTTTTTTTCAGAATTCATCTTTATTTCTATTTCATTTCACTGAGATAGCCCATCTGGGGCCATGATTAAGTACACTTAACTTATAGAGTGCCAAAGCATTTGGGAAAAACATCTGGCCTTTGATATCAAATGTCTATGCAGCGTACAATCATCCTGTTTTATTCTTGGTCATTGGTCCACAGAGCCGATAATTCTCTCATTTCTGTCTGTATGTGCTCATCAGGCCCAATGGCTTCTTTCCCAATTTCAGTGCTACCCACAGGGGAATAAGACTCCTTCTGTTGCTTTTCATAAATACTACAACTTGGAAATCTCTGCAAGTCAAGTTTGGAATGTGAGTAGAACCTGTGAATATGATGATACATTACTCCTATGAACATGTTACAAAGGGAGATTATCCAGGTAGGTCTAATCTAAGAAATGGGGACCTCAATCCTACAACTGCAAGGAAATAGATCCTGCCAGCAATCTGAATGCGCTGTGTTAAAATCAGATCAAACTTTAAAAATTTTAAAAGTTTAGTGTGCATACAAAGAATAGTTTACAAACTGGGAGACATCTAACCAAAAGTGGCAAGAAGCCTGGCTCACAGCAGTTACAGTGCAGCTTATAAACACTGAGGAGGAAGTATTTGATCTTCGTTACATTCTTTTTAAGGCAAGCAGAACTGTTAAGCTGATTTGTCTATAGCCGATTGGTTTAATTTCATTCAATCACACTGTCAAGGACATTTTGTGTTTTGTTTATGTCTAGAGCAAGTGTTTCAGGGAAATAAGGATGACTTAAGTTTTGGCTACCTGGCTATAGGTGGTTGGACTTAAAATATCTAAACTGGGGCCTCTATTTTTATTTATCTTTAACACTTGGAAGCAGATTCTTCCCAGAGCCTCCAGATAAGAAGCCAGCTTGGCTCTTGACTTCAAATCAAGGTGTTCTTCCCAGAGTCTCGAGATAAGAACGCACCAAGCTTGGGTGGGTTCTTATCTTGAGGCTCTGGGAAGAATTTAATGAAATTAAACCAACTGGCTATAGACAAATCAGTTTAAACAGGTATGCTTGCCTTAAAAAGAATGTAATGAAGGTCAAAATATTTTCTCCTTGATGTTTGTAAGCTGCTATATATCTATGATTATCAGGAGGCAATTGAACCTGGCCAAACCTTTTGATCTATAGAATTGGGACTTCTGATCTACAGAATTGTGACACTATAAATGGGTGTTATTTTCAGCTGTTGAGTTTGTGGTAATTTGTTATACAGCAGTAGAAAAGTACGGGTTGAGTATCCCAAATCCAAAAATCCCAAACCCAAAATGCTCCAAAATCCAAAACTTTTTGAGCGCCAACATGACACTCAAAGGAAGTGCTCATTGGAGCATTCTGAATCTGGGATTTTTGGATTTGGGATGCACAACCATTGTAATGCACACATTCCAAAATCCAGAACAATCTAAAATCTGAAACATTTCAGGTACCAAACATTTCGGATAAGGGATACTCAATCTGTAATACAAGGGGATTGCATAAAGGAATGATTATCAGGAGGCAAGGAACATGGGGATCATTTTAGGTCTGTATAAGGGGCCACAGTAACCTTGTCCAGAACAGCAGACCTGCCAGTTAACTCGTAGAACTATGAACTATCATAATGAATGGGGGTTGTCTTAAACCACTCAGATTTAGACTGGTTTGTTATGCAGTTAAAGCTAATTGTTACAACTTCTGGGGTGAGAGAAGTATAGATCAATTCCTCCTAAATGAAAAGCCCCATCATATTTCCAAAGATACTGAAGAATATAGAAAGGGCATGAGATCTGAATTTGAGCCCATGACTTTTTATAAGTTATCATTTATTGATGACTTATTAACACTGGTAGGAGCTCTATATTCACTATCTAAACCATACAACTGTAAGGTAGGTATTTTGAAGGCTCGGTGAATCTATGTTATATTTTCATTTTGTGGAGTTAGATAACCTTGATTATATTCACCATTCAATCCTCAATTCTCTCTTCTATAAAATGGGCTTGATTATACTATTTAATTCACAAGATTACACTGCTGTGTAAACTCCTGTGCAAATATTAGAACTCATTACTAGCAGTCCAGGGTTCAGTTTTCACATCATATTTGCCACTGAAACTCATCTAGAGTGACTACATCAACACACTGTATCTACATAACATGTACTATATCAGCATATATATCAACACTTGGTTTGTGAGAGTCTGCACTCTTAGGGGTCTGTTCTCCTCCCTGCTTGATCAAGACATACCAATTAACCACTAAAAGAATATAATTCACAGGTTAATGACAAGCTCTGGTTTTGGAATTGGGGAAGGACAGCTAATATTTTTGAAGGCCTCTATGTTTCAGGCACCAGGCTAGATGATTTACTTCTATCAGCTGACTATGATTGAATTTGTTTGGACTGGGTCATTTAGAAACCATTTCAAGTAGTTCTACTGTGAGCATGGGTCACAGTAGAATTCTACTGTGTATCCATGATTGAGAATTTCTGACATACAAAACCCCATTAAATCTCGCAAAAAATATTCCAAAATAGGCGATATGTTTATTTTACAGTAAGGAAATAGGTGCCCACAGACATTAACTTTCCCAAGATCACACATCTTGTAAAGCCAAGTTTTCTGCCACTTTACCAAAATGACAGGTTTCTTGAACAGAGGAGACAATCACTCTTACCAAATTAAGGGAGATACTAAACCGAAAAGCAAGAAAGACTGAAGATTCCTACTTAATAATCAAATCCCCTTGGTTGACCTTGCTATCCCCCGTGAAACTTTTCCAGCCATATCAGTCCTTGTTTGTTGATCTCCTCACTTTATTTCTACTACACGAGTAACTGACTAATTTTGATGGTATTCATACTTATCCTTACCATATATTTGTTTCTACATTGGTCAAGTCCTCCTTGTACATTTCCTAGTTGCCAACCTGGTGCCACAGCGGGCAAATCATGGGAACAGCCCTGGTTTTGGAGCCAGACCCACCTGAATTGGCCTCCCGCATGGACTTAGCTGTGTGGCCATGAGACAAGGCATTTTATTCTTTGAATTTCAGTTTTGTAAGCATAAAAAGGGGAAAATAAAACCCATACTTTAGTAAGGTTTAGAAACACTACACTCAGTAAGTCATAGCTAAGTCACCGTCACCAATGGTAGCCAAGTGTGTGGTGCAGCAGGAAACACATGGAAAGCAGTAAGTCACATCAGACCTTTGGAGTCGATTCCTTTACCGAACTCAAATGCCCTCACATTTAGGGAGAAAAAGAAAGAATCAGGACTTATGAAATCGAGCTGGGGCTGGCACTTCTGTCCCTCCCAACACGTTTCCAGAAAGCTACTTACACACGATGCACTCGCTAAACCACTGGAAATCATTCTACTTTATACTTTTTTCCACCCTGCCTCACGTCCTTGCCCTATGACCGGGTTCCTACCCCAACCTCTGCCCCAACACTTAGGGGAGGAGTTGCGGGCCTCTTTTTACAGTGGATAGGATTCCGAAGGGGAGAGTAAATCAGTAAGGCTCCACCCATTTCACAGGAGGCCTAGAGAGGGCGCTCCCCTTTCCCCTCCCGCCTGACCTGCCAGGAGGTGGGCTGGCGCAGAGGGAGGGCCCTGTCCCTTGTCCCTTTAAGGAGGAGGGCCACGCGCCGGCCGAGAGAGCGGCATAGCCCCCACCCGCCGCGCCCTCACCCCAGAGCAGCTGCAGCCCCAGCCGCGGCCGCCCCTCCGCCAGCCGAGTCAGCAGCTCTGACCCCCGGCAGCAAGTCGCCACCATGGTGAAGATCGTGACAGTGAAGACCCAGGCGTACCCAGACCAGAAGCCGGGCACGAGCGGGCTGCGGAAGCGGGTGAAGGTGTTCCAGAGCAGCGCCAACTACGCGGAGAACTTTATCCAGAGTATCATCTCCACCGTGGAGCCGGCGCAGCGGCAGGAGGCCACGCTGGTGGTGGGCGGGGACGGACGGTTCTACATGAAGGAGGCCATCCAGCTCATCGCCCGCATCGCCGCCGCCAACGGGGTAAGGGATGCGCGGCCCCGCGCCGCCGTGCCCCTTGGCGCGTGTGCGACGTGCGGCCTGCGGCGCCCTCCCTGGCTCGGGGCTGGTCGCTTCCGCGCGGTCGCGCTGGTCTCCACCTCCCGCTCCTCCCCCTCCTCCGCGTTCGCTCTTCTGGCCTGGAGGCCCGACGGAGGTAGCCAGGCTGGGGAAAGCGGCCGTGGGACCCGGCAGACTTCCTCGCCTGACTCCCGGCGGGCGGGGAGGCACGGGCGCGGAGCCGGGCGTGACCTTGGGAAGCCCGCCCGACCCTCCGTCTCCGCCCGCCGCCTTCCCTCTCCCAGTCCCCCGCCCCTCCCAAGGCCTCTGACATTTGCCTTAACCTTGCCACCCGGGAAGATACGGTTACGGCGCAGAGTGCCGTCGCCTTAAGTAGGAAAGGTTAGACAGCCGCCGCCTCGCCCAGAGCCCCCTCGTATCCCGCCCGCTCCCCTGCTATTCTTGGCTGGGACTGGCGCTTCCCGCTGGCTCGGAGCCCGACACTGGGGCAAGGGTGGCGAGAGCATCCATCCCCCTGGGGCGTCAGGCTGGCAGATCTCAGCAGGCGATTGCCAAGCTTCTCTTCCCACCCCCTAGTTTGCCTTGGTTCCGAACTCCTGCCCTTTACGCGGCCTGCTTGCAGGGGGGCAGGCTTTTGAAAAATCTAGTCTTTGCCCAGTGGTGCCTGGGATCTGTTCCACCGACGGGGCTGGAGCTGAATTTTCATTAGAATGGCAACAACATACCCAAAGGCGCCCTTACGCAACCAAGCAGTCGTGGCAGGCCAGGAAATGAACGCAACACCTTGGTTCCGCCCCGGGCCAAGGAACATTAACTGACTTGATTGGGCGGGTCCACTCGGATAGGTGAAACTTTAAAAAAAGGTTTTTCAGTAAATCTGATATATGAAAATGTGGGGCCGGGCATGGTGGCTCACTCCTGTAATCCCAGCACTTTGGGAGGCTGAGGCGGGTGGATCTCCTGAGATCAGGAGTTCGAGACCAGCCTCGCCAACATGACGAAACCCCGTTTCTGCTAAAAACACAAAACTTAGCCGGACGTGGTGGTGGACGCCTGACATCACGCCACTGCACTCTAGCCTGGGCGACAGAGTGAGACTCTATCTCAAAAAAAAAAAAAAAAAAAAAAAAAAAAAAAAAAAAAAAAAAGAAAAAAAAAAACAAAAAAAAAAAAAAAGAAAGAAAAGAAAAGAAAAAAGAGAATGTGGATTGATAAGTTGAGGCTATTCACTTACTTTTGTAAAACATTTCTAAGGAGTCTGAGGACCAAGGTTTCTTCCTATATTTTAAGTGAGATTTGACTTATGGCCAATTCTTCTGGAACGCATCCCCTGAAATGGATATTTCTATTCATTTTAATAGTACTTTGTTTATCTTATATTATTGACATTGAGTACTATTTGCCAAGCACCATGGTAAGCACTTCATTTCTGGGTCTCATTTATCCTCCTGCAGCCCTATAAGGCAGATGCTATTGTGGGTATCTTCAAGTTGCCAACGAGAACCCTGAAGCTTAGGTAGGTTAAATAATTTACAAAAACTATAATGGCAGCACTAAGAGTCCAATATAGATCTGCCAATCCCAAGAACTTCAACATCTCCTGAGAATGAAGGGACCCTTGATCTCAAAGATCTGTTTTCCAGGCTCCAAAATCTAAACTGGGCCCTATCTACATCTGCCTTCCCGGGCCAAACATTTATAAGCATCAGTGAGGGAAGATTGCCTGGATTTGTCTACTTTGTGCTCCTGAATTTTCGGACAAGCACAAATTCCCATGAAAGAAGGACAAACAGTAGCTGTATCCCAGTAGATCCCTTCATCTCCCCATTACCACCTGTGCTGAATTTGCATTTCATTCATTCATTCAACAGATCCTGTTGAATACCATGTTCAGAGAAATGTGTGGACTAAAAGGATGATGCAGACACAAGATTTGTCCTTAAGGAGCTTACAGCAGAGTGGAAATTTTAGGTGCCAGATGGAAATTTGTCCATTTGGGAGTAGTGTGGGGTGGGAAGGAAAGAATTAGTTAAGACTAAAAAAAAGTTCTTAAAACTTCATCACCCTTTAGCCATTGCCCTATTGGTCTTCTCTCAGCCAACCTTTGTAAAAGCTTTCTGCATTCCTATTTCTCATTCTCACCTCTAGTTTACTTGCCATTTCACTGCAGTCTGGCTTCTGCCCCCTTCACTACTCCAGTAGAATTGCTCTTGCCAAAGTTACTAGTGACTTGCCAGTTGCTAAATCCATGGAATACACTCTCGGTTTTATCTTCTTTGCCTTTCTGCTGCATTTGGCACTGCTGATTTTGTACTCTTAAAGTTCTTCCTCCCTTGGCCTTGCTTACTGTCCTGATTCTGCTCACACTTTTTGGAAGTTCCTTCATGGGCTGCACATTGACTCTTCCCTAGGTTTCTTTTTTCTTTCTTTCTTTCTTTCTTTCTCTCTTTCTCTCTTTCTTTTTTTTGAGATGGAGTCTTACTCTGTTGCCTAGGCTGGAGTGCAGTGGCACTATCAGGTCACTGCAACCTCTGCCTCCCCGGGTTCAAGCAATTCTCCTGCCTCAGCCTCCTTCGTAGCTGGGATTATAGGCGTGCACCACCATGCCTGGCTAATTTTTGTATTTTTAGTAGAGACAGGGTTTCACCATCTTGTCCAGGCTGGTCTTGAACTCCTGATCCACCCTCCTCGGCCTCCCAAAGTGCTAGGATTACAGGCGTGAGCCACTGCGCCTGGCCTATTCCCTAGGTTTCTATGCTCAGCTTGTTCTCTGATTTTGTTCACTCTGTCTACTCACCCGGGATTTTAATATGCTACTCTTTCTCTTGTGATATGATTCAGTCCAGATAGCATCTTCAGAAAGCTTTCTTGACACCCCATCCCTACTGTTTTGTTTAATTTAATTTAATTTAGGAGAGCTAAATAATTAAACATGAGGCCAAAGTACATAAGAAAGTGGCAGTCTTTTATTGCAGATATGCGCACACTCTCGGGCGAGGTTCTCTGGTCCTCAGGTGTGAGGGGCCAGGCAAGTCGCCCCAGCGCTCTCGAGTGAGGGTCTCCGGTCCAAGAATGTGGGGGCCGAAGAAGTCACGCCGGCTCCTGCCATTGGCGGACTTTTATGCATTGGTACTGGAAGGGGGAGGGCAGTGGGCAGGATAAGGGTGTGATAGGGGCATCTCCATAGGCGTGGCCAGGTAAGTTTCGATCTCTTCGGATTGACGTCACCTGGCGCATGCTTGGTTGATCTGCATCTTCCCGGGCGGGGGCTGCATTTTCCCATGCACGGGAAAGTTGGTGAGGAAGAACCTGGAAGCAACATGGATTGTGCCTTCTTGTTCACCTTCCTCCATCTTGTCCTTTCTCCCTCACCCAATCACCTACCACCCTTCTCCACCTATTAAGTGCTCCTTTCCCATAGATAATTCTAGAATAGATATATTAAATTCTAGTGAAATTATCTGTTTACATGTCACAGCCTCCCGCTAGAGAATAGGCTTCTTTAAGACAGACCTGTTTTCCCTGTATCTGCAATGCCTAGGACTATGTAGCATTCAATGAATTCTTGTTTATTTGCTCTGAACGGTGGGTCACTTTTGTATTCTAGCACTTGATTTAAAGCCAGCATATAGTTGGTGACCAATAAATTTATTCACATCAAACATTAATTATGTGTTTGCTTTGTATCAGACATTGTACTTGAGGTATAAAATATTTTTGCCCTTGGGAAAGACATAGTCTGGGAGGGATGGTAGATAGGAGTCAACAGACAGCACAGTGTGTCAGGTGTTGTGATGGAGGGATGTGCAGGTGTTTTTAATGTCAATGACTACTTGGGAAGGAAAGATGAAGGGAGGGAGGCTCCATAGAGAAGTGGTAGCTGAATTGAGTCTTAAAGAATGAGTTGGAGTTCCCAAAGTGGGTTTGTCAGGTAGGAGGAATTCTCGGCAGAATGAATGCAAATTGAGGGAGTTTAGATTAGAAACAAATACAAATTTCTAATCTTTTTTTGTTTCATCCGCAAAGATTGGAATAATACATACCCAGAGAGCCTGTTGTGAGGATTAGATGAAACAACATATTTACAAGTACCTCACTTGGAAACTGTTCGAATGACAGGTGTGTTATTGTTTTGCTGGTATTAGGACACTAATCCAACCTGATGCAGGTATTAGCCACCCAGATGGTCTCCCACCTTCCTCTAATCCTCAACAGCCCCAACCAATATAGAGGGATTCCATGTTAGTCAGAACCCAGTTGGGTACAAATGACAAAAACCTTACTTAGATTACTCCAAGTGAAAAAGGAATTTATTGGCCCATGTTACTGAAAAGTCTAAGAGAATCCCAACGAATTCTGTAGTTGAAACTATTCCTGGTCTCTAAAAATCACTTTTGGGTCTAATGATCTGCAAATGACCAGCATTAGAAATTGAGGAGAGTTTAAGCTCACAAGTAAATAAATGTGTGCATATTTTGAAGGATGATTTATCACCACCCTAAGCAAAATAAAATAAATGCCTTTGTGGGAGCTTGTAAGTAGGGTATTCTTTGTTGTTGTTGTTGTTGTTGTTGTCAAGTTACAGGGATTCTTTTGTCAGCGACTCCTTTGCTACTCATTTGTGGAAACTATGGAGCCCCTCCTCAGAATATATATATTTTAAAATTTGAGACATGATCTTACTCTGTTGCCCAGACTGCAGTGCAGTGGCACGATTGTGGCTTACTGCAGCCTCAGTCTCCCCAGGTTCAGTTGATTCTCCCACCTCAGCCTCCCAAGTAGCTGGGGTCCACAGGTGCATGCCACCACGCCTGGCTAATTGTTTTATATTTTTTGTAGAGATGGGGTTTTACCAAGTTGCCCAGGCTGGTCTCAAACTTGTGGGCTCAAGTGATCTGCCTGCCTTGGCCTTGCCTCCCAAAGCGCTGCGATTACAAGTGTGAGCCTCCGTGCTCGGGCAGAGT